ATCAATAATATCTCATTTTTCACTTAAATCTTGCCGTTTTTCTATTACAAGCCTAAAACCAAAATTTGACATGTTTTGACATCGTTATTCATATTTCATATTTGGTCGCTATGACAATTATATTCAAATTTGCTACCGGTCTGTTGTTTCTATTTCGATAATTCCACATAAATACTCTTTCCTCTTGACCATTTACAAAAAATTTGCGTTTAATTTAAATAATTTTTCCGTTCTCTCTAGAAAGGTATAAAAGCCGAACAATCGGTGAAGAAATTCAGTCTCGCTTCAGTTCTCGAGTTCGAAGCATCTCCTAAAGGCCTTATCCCGGGGCCGCACTGCCCCGGGATCCTGCAAGCCTCTGTCCTGCCTGAAGCCACTGGACTCTACGAACCTCTGCTCTACCTGCAGTCACCGGATCCTACAAGCCGATACTCTGCCTGAAGTCGCCGGGATCCTACAAGCCTTTGTTCTGCCTGAAGTCGCCGGGATCCTACAAGTCTCTGCTCTGCCTTGAGTCGCCGGAACCTGCAAACCTCTGTCCCACCTGAAGTCACCGGAACCTGCAAACCTCTGCCCCGCCTGCAGTCACCGGATCCTGCAGGCCTCTGTGCTGTCTGAAGTCGCTGAGGATCCTGCAAGCCCCTGTCTGGCCTGAAATCGCCGGATCCTGCAATCACCGCATTCACCTGAGGTCGTCGTCTAGAGACGCCCACGCCTTCTCACCTACGCCGTGCGTGCTCATTCCAGGCGCTGAGAGCACACTTTGGATCTTCAGACTCAGCTTCGACACTAATCTCCTTTTTTTATTACCTTTTTTTAAATAATTTGTAAATCACGTCATCCATCCTCATTTTCATATTCCATTTTGTTATTTAAAATTGTAAATATCCTTTAAATTTTAAATATATTATTTGTTTTTGTCCTATTTTTGTTGTTTTGTTGCTGTTAGGTTAGATTCTTTTATATTTGATTGTCGCTTCACGACACAGTATACTCAAACACTATTGGTCAGAGATATTCTTAATAATTTATTAAGAAGTGGGAAAGTTTTTAATTTTAAATTATTTATTATTTATTTACTTTTTATAGATTAAAGCTGACAAGTGAAGGGCTTCCTGATAATTTTATATTTTTTTTTACATTAATATGTTATGCAATTAAATAATAATAAAATTCATATTTAGAGAAGACTATACGAATAAAATATAGTTCAATTCAACATGTAACTTTTATCTAATAATTTAATAATCAGACTTAAAAGTATGGAATGGTATAATATATAGTTTTAACAGTGGTAGAGCAACGCGGCAGCTTTTGCTGTCGCACGGATGGGCCGGCTCGAACCGGGATAGTACCACGACCTCACAGAAAACCAGCGTGAAGGAGAGGTTTCCCTTTGCGTTTCGCTTGGCGAGTGCAGGTGGCCGGAGGCCCTTTTTACTGGAAATGAGGCATTCCATCTTAGTCCTCACGGGTGACAACGCATCTACATTTTGATTTGTAACAGAAGATAGATGTAGATGTCTATGGGCCGCAGCAACCACTTACCATCAGGTGGACTGTGTGCTCGTTTGTCACCCTTATCCTATAAAAAAAATAGTAAAAATAGCCTTTTTTTCAAAAGACTTTAGGTAGAATTCGAAACCTAAACGCCCATGTCAGAAGAATACCACAGTCTAAAACTCTTTTTATCGGTTTATACCCGTTTCAAAATATCTGTTGTAGGTTATGTTTCTCTCTCTCTCTCTCTCTCTCTCTATCTCTATCTCTATCTCTAATTTTTAACAACTTTAATATATGGGATTTCCGCAAAATAACACCTGATTCTATTCATTATCATAAACGAATTATCTATGTGAAGACAAAAATAACTATTTTATATCTCTGAAAGTAATCACAATTCAATATCTGAATACCTAGTTTATCCGCTATTAGCATTTTATAATCAGGGGGCTAATAAGGTGTTTTGAACTATTTAAAGTCTAATAATAATAATAATAATAATAATAATATATTTATTTGCTTAAACATGGTATGAAAAGGTTTTACAAATAATATACAATTGAGCAACATGTTTTGCTACAGTTACATATAGCATGCAAAAGTTTTGTTTTGTACATTAAGGGTTATGATTAAAAAAGTCTATAATGCTGTAGAAATTATTCTTAGTTAGGTATTCTTGTAATTTAGATTTAAATAATTTAGTATTTAATATTTTTAGATCATTTGGTAACTTGTTATAAATACGTACACACATAGATAGACAACTTTTATTATATTTACTTATTCTAGGTGTGTTACTTAAAATGAGCTTGTATGGATTTCGTCGGTTTCGAGGATTTGCATCATTTGCCGTGTTAAATAAATATTTATGCTTCCATACGAACATGCATATTTCATAAATATAAAGACACGGGAAGGGTAATAAGTCAAGTTTTTTAAACATCTGTTGACATGAATCAGTTGGTTTAAGCCCACATATTGCTCTGATGCATTTTTTTTGTGCACTAAATGCTCTATTTTGATCCGTGCTTTTACCCCAGATTATAAGTCCATAGCGCAGTATTGACTCTACGTATGCATGGTAGGACAGAACAGCCGTTTTTATGTTTGTAACGTTTTTTAAATGTTTAAGGGCGTATGCAAACTTATTTAATCTCGTAGATACATCGTTTACATGCAATTTCCAGTTTAAATTTTCGTCTATAGTTATTCCTAAAAATGTTTTATTTGTTACTGCTTTTATTTTTGGTATGTTAAGATTAAAATTATATTTCTTGTTATTACATTTATTGAATTGTATATATACAGATTTGTCAAGATTTATTTTCAAATTGTTTATGTCAAGCCAATCAATTAAATTATCTATAGTATTATTTATGTCAGTCTCGTGGTCTTTAATAGTATTACATTTTTTATTAGAGGTCACAATTATTGAAATGTCATCCGCGAATAATATGCATTTATGATTTGTTACATTAACAATGTCATTTATATATAATAGAAATAAAATAGGACCGAGCACACTTCCTTGTGGAACGCCATACCTATTGAATCTATATTTAGACGAATACGGTATGATATCCTTATTTTCATCTATTTTCATGACCGTAACACATTGCTGTCTGTTACTAAGGTATGAAGATATCCATTGAAGAGTATGTCCTCTAATCCCAAGCTTTTCGAGTTTTTGTAGCAGGAGGTCGTGTGACACCAAGTCAAAAGCTTTAGATAGGTCAAAAAATAGCCCTGTAGTTAAATTATTATTGTTTAAATTTTCCAGTATTATTTTTAGGAGAGAAAAAATGGCCAACGTTGTAGATTTGTCTTTTTGAAATCCGTATTGTTCGTTAATTATAATATTATATTTGTTGCAGAATTCGATTATTCTTTTGTACATACACTTTTCATATATTTTGGACATAATAGGTATCAACGTTATTGGGCGATAATTGTTGACTATATATTTCTCTCCTTTTTTAAACAGTGGTTTAACAATGGATAACTTAAGTGCATCTGGAAAAGTTCCACACGAAAAAGATAAATTTATTAAATGAGTCACGATTTCTATAATTTCGTTGATACAAATTTTTATAATTTTTGTACCTATGTCGTCATAGCCCGCAGAATTAGTATTTTTTAATGACATTGTCTCTCTTTTAACTTCGTCTTTCGACATAGGTTTGAGAAACATAGAGTTAATATGATAACTGTTACTTAGTAAGTTTTTTCTTTTTGTGTGTGTTGTTTCGTGTGTTGAATTAATGTAGTGATTGTTAAACGCAGAGGCTATTTCTATTGGGTTCGTGATAACTGCGTTATTAATTATAATTTTTTCTATGTTGTTTTTGCTATGTAAGCTACCTATTTCCTTTTTAATAATGTTCCACGTGGCCTTACACTTGTTGTCATTGTTATTAATAAATTTTACGTTGGAATTTTTTTTTGAATTATAAATACATTTTCTTAATAATTTGGAATATGTCATATATTTTGCTTTATTAACAGCATTTGTATTTCTATAGTATTTATATCTTAAGATTCGTTTGGTTTTAGAACTTATTTTAATTCCTTTACTTATCCAATTTTGTTTCTTATTACTATTTATATCTACTTTAATTCGTACTTTTGGAAAACAAAGATTATAGAAAAGACAAAATAAGTCATGAAAGCTACTGAAAGCGACGTTAGCATCATTTGCCGTATACGCTTCAGACCAATACATTTTTTGTAGACATTCTTTAAATTTCCTAATATTATCTAAGTTGTAATCTCTTTTGTAAATATAGTATATCGCTTGCTTTTGTATATCACGTTTTAAAGGAAAGCTTAACAATTGTGCTGTGTCGTGATCAGATAGATAAAGTGGTAACACTGTTGCAGCTGCATCCGGAATATTACTCAAAATATGATCGATGCAAGATGACTTACGGGTAGGTACATCAATGTGTATTTTTAAATTGTAATTATAGCATAAATCTTGAAGTTCATTTGTGATATAACCTCTTTTTAATGTGTTTATGTTAAAGTCACCAGCCAATACTAAACGTACTCTAGATTTGTATTTCATAGTTAAATCGTGTAAAAGATTATTTAGTTTAGATAGAAATTGGGTCGGATCTGATTGGGGTGTTCTGTAGAGACAAACAGTTATTAATTTAATACACGTTAGTTCTATGCCGCAAACTTCAAACGTATTCTGGGACGCATATTTTTTTATAAATGACAGTTCATTAAAAATCAATCCTTTTTTAACTAAGATGCAAGTTCCCCCTCTTTGCTTTTCTCTGCAGAAATTAGCTGCCATTACATAACCGCTTATTCTTAAAAGATTCTCATAACCTTTTTTTATAAAAGTTTCCGAAAGACATATGACATCCGGATTATTGCTTCTATCCCATAACTCATGTATAGTGATTTCTATTAAATCTTGTTTCAACAAAGCACTGGCAATATTTTGATGTAAAATTTTAAAATTATGTGCAGTAGTAATTTGGTTTTTACGGTCGAAAAAATGTATTATTCTTTTTTAATACGGGAAAATAATATGGTATAGTTCCTCTTTTAAAAATTTCAACTGGTTTTGTGTACTTTTCAGTTTGTTTTTTAAAGTAAAAGGGGATTGTACCTTTTTTGGGTTCGATTAAGATTTTAAAACTTGACTTATTACTTGTATGTATATGTTTACTGATTTCGATAGGGTTTAAGTATTTTTTTGCGTAATCATTACAGTCAACAACATAATTAATTAGTTTACAAATTTCCGAACGATTTGAGTTATTACAATCCAAAAAATGACAATTTTTATATTTCTTACATATATTCCTCATAAGATAATTTAATTTGTTAACGTTTATATACATATTTTCAATAACATTTAGCACAATTATCGTATTATTACTAAAGGTGTCTAGTATAAATTGTAGTTGTGATAGAACTAGCCTTATATTATAATCATTTTCTCCTATACAAATAATGAGTTTATCATCTGGTTTTAGTGTCATGTTTTGGCAGTTTTTTATTATTTCGTAGCTTGGTGCATATGGCTTCGTTTGAGCAGTAACTTTATAGTTTTCGTATTGAGTCATGTGTCTTGAATGTGATATAGCTGCAGCCAGGCCGACGCATTGTTGGGAACCGATAATGTGAATTTTTTTTACGGGGTCGGGTTTATGTTGTACAGTGATTGGATATGAGGTCTTATTCAGTTTTTTTATCGAGTTTTTAAGGTACATTTTTTGTGTCAGATTCTTTATTTTTTCCGTAAGACCTGTGATCTCTTTTTCTGCTTTCTTAAGTTGTTTTTGCAAGTCGCTAATTTTTCGTTGCAGGCACAATATTACTGTGTTAGTATGAGAATTGACGTGTGACTTGATTGTTGGTGAAGATGGTACAGAGGACACGCTAGGAATTAATAAGGAGTTTCTTTTCTTCTTATTTTTATTAAAAATTCCAGGACTACCTTCTATTGCTGTAGGAGAATGGCAGAGTGATTTTAAAATTTTATTTTCCGATGTTAATTTATGTATTTGTCTGTGCAGATCATTATTTTCTAATATCAAATTTTCTAATTCATTTTGAGTACTTTCAAGTGTACAGGTTAACTGAGATACCGTTATTTTCATATCTGAGATTGATGTTATGTCAGTAACGGTCCCGTCTACACTTTTCGACAGTTTACTAGGCGTGGTAAATGACTCATCTGTTATATTGTAGTCGGTAAGTATGTGAGAATCCAGCACGTAAGAAGTATTCTGGTCCGATAACTGTGATGATTCAAAACATTGTAATTTTTCTGGTGGTTTTTCTGGTGAAGGCGAAGTACATTGTTTTGTGAGATTAGGTTTCTTTCTCGTTGTGATATTATGCATGTCGCTGTTGATGTCTTTTTTATTTTTAATACACATTTTACATCGCCACTTCTTTTTTGCTGCCTGATCCAATAGGCGGTATGTTTTTTCCGGATATCCATCACATTCTAATTCATACCTGTTTTTACATATTGAACATAACGCAGTTTGTTTTTTGTCAACTATGTTTTTGCATTTGTAACATGTTACTATTGCCGGCATCTTGTGGCCGCTATTGGTAGTTTTCGCGTTGATTTTAGACGTCATATTCAATAAGAATTAACTTAGTACACCCTCCAATGAATGTATAAATGTGTTTTCTATTATTTTGCACTACTTTTTTACACTTCACTTTTAATCGTTTGTTACTTTTGTTAGGTTTAAATTTTTTCACTAATAACAGTATATAGTTTATATCAACACTAACTATTCACAACTATTACACGAATTAGGCTATTATCACTGTAAAACTATTTTTTTAACTGTTTTAAACACGAGCTCGATGTTTACCGTGTCACTAGCGACACCTACTACTAAGGATTTACTAGGTGTGTTTCGTTTTATAGGCGGTGGCAAACGAGCATACAGCTCACCTGATGGTAAGTAACACCGCCGCCCATGAACAACTGCAACACCAAGAGAATTGCAGGTGCGTTGCCGGCCGTTTAGAAAGGAGCAAGCTCTTTTCTTGAAAGTCCCCGGTCCAGAAAAATCATCGGTGATAAACTATTCCACAGAGATATCGTACGCGGAAGAAAACTCCTAGTGAAACGTACAGTGGTGGACCGCCAAGCATCCAGATAGTGTGGATGGTATCGGGAGTGTTACCGCGATGTGCGTTCGTGAAATTATGCGACTGGGATTAATCCGAACAATTCCTCAGAGCACTCCCCGTGGTAAATACGAAAGAAAATGCAAAATCATTTCGCAGCGCCACTGAATCGAGCCCATCGCAAAGGACTCGGTCCTCGACGATTCGAGCCACTCTGCGCTGGATGCGGTCAAGTGGAAGGAGCTAACACTGGGAGCTCCAGTCCAGAGATGAGAACAGTATTCCATGTGAAACCGAACTTGTAAAGTTGCAGGCGGTGTGCCGGCATGAAATACTGTCCCGCTATCTTGAGCACGCCAAGCTTTTTAAAGGCCAGTTAGGCCTTCTTTTTCAAGTGACCACGAAACTGCACGTCATTCGAATCGACGCCGAGGATTTCGGTACGAATCTGGTAATTCTGGTATGGAGGAGATACGACAGAAGGGTTCTTCTTAGTGCTAAACGCACAAACTTGTGTCTTCTGAGGATTAAACTGGACTAGATTTAGTCGCCCCCAATCCGAGACTGTGTTCAGTAAAGACTCAAATTCAGACACAAGTTTGTTCCGGTACTGGGCGAAGTTTTTCCGAGAAATATTGGCACAGCCGGTGTATAGAGCATCACCAGTGCTGTCATCCACATAGCAATGAATGTTACCCGTTTGCAACATATCTTTGATATTGTAACGTCAACGTAACAGCCTGCAGAAAGCAAGCGCGATTTCAGCGTGAGTGGCACCACACTCCGAGCTAGACAATGGTCCGAGGAGCCAAGAGGGGCGTCGGCAAAGACCTGATATCTGTCCGGATTAGAGGACAGCAGAAGGTCCAAAAGGGAAGGTGCATGATCCTCCACATCTGGAATCCGCGTAGGCGTAGTAACCAGTTGTATCAGATCATATGCCAAAGCAAAATCATGAACAGATCTTCCCGCATGATCGGTTAAACTCACAGAATACCAGCGTAAAATAGCAGCTTAACACTGCTGTGTTTCGTGTGGTGAGTGTGTAGAGCCGGAGACCCTTTTTACAGGAAAAGAGGCATTCCATCTTAGTCCTCACGGATGACCTGCATTTTGATTCGCAAACAAGGATAAATGTAGATGTCTATGGGCCACTGCAACCACTTACCATCAGGTGGACTGTGTGCTCGTTTTTCACCCTATCCTATAAAAAAAAAACGTGAACCGAGCCATTCAGCGTAGTGGGCGTTAAAATCGCCAAGGTTCACGATTTATGCGGATGGGACATATTGTAGCAAGAAATCTGTAGCCATTTGGACGTGGTCAATGAGTCGGTCTGTCTCGGCATTACCGCTATGGGACCTATAAATGCACCCCTAAATGCGCGAATGGTCGTCGCTGTCTACGCGTAGCCAAAGGATAGACAGGTCTGAATATTCAAAAATACCGAGGCGTTGAGAACAGATTTCCTCTCTGACGTAAACGCAAACTCCAACCCGAGGCACAAAAAAGTGTTCCAATTCGTACCCCGGGTAGGAGAGATACCAAGTTATCAGCCGGAGAGAACACTTGCGTCTCACTCAGAAAGAGCAAGGCCGGCTTTGCCGTCTAGATATGTTAGTGGACGGTGTTTAGATGCTAGTGAAGTCCCCTGATGTTGCAAAATTCACGGATAGCGTGGCAAGGGTAAAGTGACCCGTCTTGACGTCGACAACGTCTTGTTGCTCAGTTTGCACCGAGCAGTTATTGTTTTGAGCGGAATTTTACCCCCTTCCCATAAAACGTAAGACATCCTGAGCACCCACACTCAGGAGTGGAGTAACTTGGTCATGGATGCTCAGTGAGGGATTCTCCTGGGGTGCTGGTACTCTCCTGTGGTAGTATTTCAGTTAGTTCCGCTACCATGTTGATGGGGGGGGGGGGGGGTATTGGGCCTCGGCCTCCTGCACTCACCAGACGAAACGCAGAAACAGAGCTTCTACTTCACGCCGGTGTTCTGTGAGGTCAACAGCAAAATCTGCCGCGTGGCTCTACCACCGTTGTATTTGTATTATATGTACCGTGTTTGTATTTACGACGTTATATTTTAATGGATTGCTCGCGTTAATACGCAAAAATATTTATTATATAAATTAAACAGATACAAATACAAATATAAAGATGGCTCATTTGATACCGAGTGGAGACAAGGGGGTACAGACGGATGCAGCCTATTTTGACTTTAAAAAAGCATTTGACCTAGTAGATCATAACGTGTTGCTTAAAAAGCTAGCAGTTTTTGGTTTTACCCCACATTTACTGCACTTATTTGCAAGTTACATGTCCGATAGACAGCAATATGTGGAATATGAGGGACATCAGTCAGAGCCATATTTCACGTGGTCCGGGGTAAGTCAGGGCAGTAACCTTGGCCCTTTGGAGTTCTTGATGATGATAAACGACCTACCAGAAGTGGTGAAAGACGCTAGGTGTTTATTGTTTGCTGACGACCTTAAATTGTCTCTTGCGGTAAAAAATGGGCACGACTGTGCTATTCTACAAAGAGACATAGACAGGGTTGTAAATTGGAGCAAAGAAAATCTTTTGAAATTTAACAGCTCTAAGTGTGTGTGAATTAGTTTTTCTCGTGCGCACACTCCTATTTTAAATAAATATCACATTGACGGGCTGCCGATGACAAGGGTCAGAGAAGTTAAAGATTTAGGAGTAACTTTTAATACAGGGCTTACTTTTCATGATCACATCATAAACATCTGTAAAAAGGCTTATAGAAATCTAGGATTTATGCTTCGTACGGTCCGAGGATTCACAAACATAAGAGCGATAGTCGCCTTGTATAATACATTGGTACGGAGTCAACTTGAATGTAATACAGTCGTCTGGGCTCCGCATGAAACTAAGTATAGTCTCATGCTAGAGCGAGTACAGAATAAATTTATTAGATATTTATATATGCGTTATTATGGTGTATACCCATTTTATCCTCTAATGTATCCAACTTTGTTTATCTTAGGTATGGTAGGATATAATGAACTAAGAGTTAGAATGGAACTTGCGCTCACCTCGTATATTTTTAAAGTACTCAGAGGAAAATTGCATAACGCTGAAATGTTAGGGCAATTAAACCTATATGTTCCTGAGAGGTATGTGTGGCGCCGACGGCAGCCACGACTGTTGTGGAGCCGCGCGCTCGAACCAACCTTCTGAGTAAGGCGCCTCTGACGCGCGCACTCCATACGCTCAACTTAATAGCTAGTGAGACGGACCTATTCTGTTGTACTCTGAGTGAATTCACAAAGATAGCATTGCTTGTAATTTGTTACAAAAATTAAAGCATGAAGACAAATTAGTTAGACAGCTACACTATCGCATTAGGTAATCCTGTAATGATAGTTGTAAGTTTCAGAAATAAATAAATAAAATAAAAATAAAAATAATGATTCTCGTTTATTGAGAATAAAATGTTTCTTCCGAAGTTTAGTTTACCCATTCACATACCATAGTCAGTATTTAACTGCACTACATTATACTGTGGTTTGGCTATTTTTAACACTGAATTTTTAACACAAGCAAACTGTATTGCTAAGTAAAAGTGACCACTGCAACCCATATAGGTACCATGAACAGCAAACTTTAAATTAAAATGGTTACAGCTCCTCGTATAACCTACGACCTACGCTTTAAGGGATTAAGATTATGATTGATAATTATAAAATGTTTAATCCTATTTAATCTTGTAATTGAACAGATAGTCTGTAATTATTGTAGGTACCTGCTGTCAATGGACGCAACAGACTCGGCCTTCTTTTTCTCGGTGGCAGGACTTTAGGTATCAGGTATTCTTTTTCTCGGTAGGTGTCCGTTTTAGTATTTAGGTAGGTACCTTTTACCAGGCTGTGAGGCATTCCATTTCAGTCCTCAAGAGTGACACGTCTGTAGACTGGTCTGGTTTCTGGTGATGTTTGTGCTGTTAGCCTTTTGCACGTAAATGAGTTATCTAACGGCCGTCAAAACAGGGGATGACGGGCCTTGGTTCTGACGACCAACTCGTATCGTTCGATGTTCTAGGTGGTGAGAACCGCTCAGGGACGCGGGTGTACGGTGTGTACGTGGTGTGGAGGGGTGGGTGTGCGGTGCGCCCGACTGCTGACTAGTGAGTCAGCAGACGGGCACGCAGTGCGTGCCATCCGTTGTCCTAACAGTATTTGTGGCACTAGGTGACTGTACAGTTTTTACCGTGACTGGCCGGCGACATTTCGGTCGTCGGAATCAGCGGAACGGGGAGTTCAATTAGAACGTTACTGGGCCTCCGGAGGCTTCCCGTAACGTTCGGAGTCGGAGCGTAGGTGACTGCGTTTACCACTAGCGGGTTGGAATAAGTCTCGGCCCTAGCACCGAGACATTTCCTTGAAATATTCTGAGATCGTCGGAAATTGAGAGTCTCTGTGTAAGTCGGAATTTCGCTTCGTCTGTAGACTACTTTGTAGAGTTGGCT